CTAGTAGAAGACGTAAGGTGCCATTAAAATGAGCGAGGAATCAGGGCAAATTAACATCAAGATCTATACAGTGATAAAATGAGGATAATGAAGAAGGTTTCAGATTATGTTTTATATGCATACTTACAACCCACTAGGGGTTACTAAAGTATCTGTAAACAAATGTTAACTGCTGATTACATGCTTTATAATTTCACAGTTCCATTTAACATTACTCTTTAGCTGTGTGTTTAATTATCAGTTCAGCGCAACTATAACAGTAAACCATGGGTGAAGATTCACTCCACTAAAATCATTTGCTCCAGTAGTTGTATTTCAGTAATCAGTACAAATTCTAAAAATCACACCTAAAGTTCACACTTTCTTGCTTTTGACTCTACCAAGTTCTTGGTATAGACCTTAACCTAAAATCTTGACCTTGACCACAATGTAAAGTTTGAGTTAATTTATTCCTTAATTTTTTTTTTTCAGCCAGCTAATAGGCTCTTTTCCTTCTCATAGCCTGTGAATATGCCAAAGTTGCTCCATATCAGCGTACTCCAGACTTTTGGCCTTTGGAAAGTTCTCCCTCCTTCCAGTGTTTTCATAAAGCAAATCCAAAATTCTCTCTATTCTCTCATCTTCCTGATAGCTTTTCTCTGTTCGCTTCCTAGACAAAGTCAATATACCAAAACCATCCTGTGCCTTCTATTTGACCTTGCTGACCACCTCATCTACCCCATAATTTGGATACATATTCTGCCTTGCCCTCAAGAGAAATCAATTCCTCTATTTCTTCCTTCATCATACTACTATTGTCCACACTCACCTTCCACCCAGACAATCAAAATCTCATTACCTTTCACCTTGATTTATCAATCCTACCTATACATTCCTAAACCCCACATTAGCCTCTCCAGATTCTTCACAAACATTGTATTACGTCCAAGGTTTCCCCTTCTCTGAACCATGTGATACTGGAAAATCTCACAATTGTAAAGGCTCTGGCTATTTTTCCCCTTTTGCACCTTCTGCCTATGTGAAGGCTGATGATTTCCATTATTGACGTATCTGCTGTTCTCCCAAGCAACATAGCATTCTCTCCTATCCAAGCTTCTCTAGCTACTGACACTATCCAGAAGTTTTGTAGAGGTGTACCAGAAATGCAAAAGTGGAGGAAGTATCTGAAGGCCAAGAACGTGCGAAGTTATCTCAGCACATTGCTCTGATGCAGCCACTCAAATTGCTTACAGAGTTCTACTCCTGTGTTTTCTACAGAAATTAAAAGAGCAACTAGATATTTGCTCATCAGAGACCTGAAATGGCTAGCCTAGCCATTCATTTTGCTAACGAGTTTAGGTCATGTGAACACACACCTGACTAGCTTTAAACACAAAAAAGCATGACTGTATCCTACGATACTTACTAATAACAGGATGAATAACTTAATTACAGCTGCACAATTTTGCAGCAAGCATTCAGACCGACAAATGTAACTAACAAAATTAGAAATTCCCCATTCACTGAGGAAGAGCAGCAAATCAATCAGATACAGATCTTTGGTTGTTTTTTTTTTTTTAACTGCAAACTGGACTATTGGGAATTGTATCTCTTGGATGTTATTCCTCAGCAGATTATAATATACTGCTTGCTGTAAATGGAAGTGCGGGTCACATTTACAAAAATTGAAAGCCAAAGAGTCAACTTAGAAACATAAATGGCTATTGACCTCCTTCTTGCTATTCAAAATGTTCCAAATTAAAAAAGAAAAAAAAAAAAGAGGACAAAATTTCAGAAAGAAATAAATGCAGAAAATGGTTTATATAAAAGGTTCCAGATCGAACAATACATCAGAATTATTACTTGTGGCACAGTTTGCCCACCAGAAGTCAAGATCCCACACAACTTTTTATTTATGCTCTAATCTTAAGCAGCATTACTGAGTGACCTCAAATCACATTTTGCATTTTGCAAACAAGTGAGGAGAGTCCAGGCTTGCCCTGTAAAATAGAGATGCAGACAGGAAACAAACAATATAGTTCCTTCCTGCGCTCCTTCACTGCACTGCATACCTAATCAGAGTTGGAGGTTTCATATAGTCCCAGGGGCCTATCTTCAGGTGATCAGGTTAGAAACTGATTTTATCTGTTTGCAATGCCCAAAATCTTCATGCAGGCTCTGCTTCCAGGGAAGTGATACTAGCATATTTGCAAACTAATCTGTCGTAGCAGGCCCACTGTAAAAGACATGGTTCACAGGCATATCCACCATATATTTCTAAATGGATTAGAAAATAATTGATGTTCAAAAAGCTTCAGGCATTTTGTTTAACAAACAGATTAAAAATAATGCCAAATAAACCTTTTTCTTATCTGTTTATTTGATATACATGCTGTTACATGTTTTATAGTTACTTAAGCACAATTAACTAAAGCTGAGATAATGGCAAGGCTGCCAATCACAGATCAACTGTTCACTGCTTAGAGACAAGTAACTAAAACAGCTTCAGTTGTTAGAAAATAGGTGGAAACACTCATCACTGGTTGTTTACCTAGTCTGAAAGTAAAGCACCTGAAAACACTGAACTCAAAAAACTTACAGGCTATACGAGATGACCAAGGTTATGTATGTAATTATCTGAATGTCCCAAAATTTCCTCAACTCCTAGATATATTTGATTCATGGATGCTTTAACAAAAAAGCCAAACCAAAAAACCACTACCACCCCTCACTCCCCACAAAAATTCCTATCAAAGTACAGGGGTGCAGTTCAGGGAGGGGAGGCCAGAGGGTTAGTACTGAGAGTTCATATTTAAAGTTGCATTTTATGAAGGGAAAAAAAAAATTATATAACCAGGAAAAACCCAAAGTATTAAAAAGGCAAGCAAGAGCTCCAGGTACCTGAAAAGGATTAGAAAAAAGCACTCCAGGGGATGAATCACAAAAGAGCAGAGTCAAGTGTGAACAAGAGAAACACAAGGGTAAAATCCAGTTATTCAGATGGACTAATGCAGCTGAAAAATTCTTGTTAACAACCTTTTTCTGATAAAAACTTACTACTATATCACAGTATCCTAGTGTCTGACACCCCAAGTACCTATCCTATTCTGCCGTCTCCCAAAAGAAACTGACAGGAGTCAGTCGGAAGGAAATGAGAAGGGAAGCACTTGAACCTCTCACAGAAAGTACACAAATAGAGAAAGTCAAAAGGAACAGGATAGTCAATAGGGAAGCTCGGGAAACTGGTTCAGATGAAACGATAGAGACAGCAGCTTGCAGAAGAGATCTGTAAATCCCAATCACAGAAATGCAATCTGCAATCAAGACAGCTGGTAAAGGTCATTTAAGGACAGAGCCCAACAGAAGAAGGGAAGGACCATGAGGACATTTAAATTCTGATTTGCTAAGCAAAGGAGAGAAGGACAGGAAAACGAAAACACTGAACAAGGATAATCATTAGCCATTTTTTCAAACTCCTGTTATTCTTTTTTTGACTGACATGCTTTTCAAAAGCCTTGTCTGATACAGACCCCTATATACCATGTAAATTAACCCTTCAGACAACTTTATCTGAACTTTTGCAGGTATTTTGGAGATCATCTTCACATTAAAATGGGTAACACAAAATATGGTGAGATTCTTTTCCTCCAACAAAAAAAAAAGATTGATACAGCAAGTTGATCACACTCTTAACATTACCTACATGGGAAAGAAATTTGTTAGAAGACCGAAGTTACCAGATAATACTATAATGAGATCAGAAAGCTGGAAGCTAGCAGTAGATGTGTTTAGACTAGCAAAAAAAAAAACAAAAACCAAAAACAAAACAAAAACAAAACAAAACACCAAAAAAACAAGGAAGCAAAACTCTTGTAAATTCACACTGAACCAAATTAATTTGCAGAAGTGCCAACCTACTATGTTGGTATTCTAAATAAAGAATGAAGGACTTATTTTAAAGAGCTGCTCTTGCTCAGAAAACGTTAAAAGATTGTTACAGGAATTTTTCTTGACTTGCTATGGCCTACTTCGTGCAGGAGATTGGACTTGATGACCATAATGACTGCTCCATTATACTGTAAAATATACCAGCCTCTTGTCTCCTTCCCTCTTACGTCACTCTTAACATTCCATATGAGAAAGTGATGAAGCTATGCATGGTCTGTTAGCCTATATCTGTATCATAAACAAAACTGTTTCCCAGAAATAAAATCCCCCACATCCACACCTGCCTACTTTTACATTTTCAATATTGCACTTGCTATGCAGATTCAATCACATTTCTAGAGTTCGTAATCATTTTATGACCCATTCTTGAAAAATAAGCTTCTCTAAAACCTGCTTTTGATTAAATCTTCTGACATGTCTCCAGTTATTCTATCTCTTTCTGTAACAGAACCTGAACAAAAGAAAACATTAGTCCCCGTGACTATGTTATGGGTAGTATAGTTGGAGAAAAAAAAAAAGTTTTGATAATAAGGGATAAAACCATTATTTCAATTACCTAAAAACCACTAAATATTGTAGTGATTAGAAGGTTAACAATGGCATAAGAAAACATACTATCCATGACACCAATATCAAGTTCCTGATTCAGACTTTAGAGTTATAATTTGTGAAAATATGTACATAAAAATATGTGAAAAGTCATGATTTTTGCCATGTACATTGTGAAAACAAAGTACTGTCTTCACTGTAGAATGGAACCAATAAACTTCATGGCAATATAGTCTAGTTTATGATTGAGTGTAAGTGCTCTTGACAGAACTGTCCATACATTTTTATTCACCCTTTGAGCAAATTAAAATATTAAAAAAAAAAATAATCCAAAACCAAAAAAACCTAAAAAAATTGCTAATAATAACTTTAGCAATTTCAGCCTATTTAAAGACTTGGACAAGAAATCTCCTTTAAAACTCCCTCCCATATACTTAGAACCATCATTTGCATTTTTGAAAATATTCTTTTTCAAGCTTATGATTAGAAAGAATTTAGCATTTTTTCAAAATGTTAGTACTTACTTATCTCCAAAGAATTTTCTCCAGAAATCTGCAGCATCAGCTTTGGTGATACGGAAGTTATCACCCTGGAATTGGCCATTTGGAAAAATAGCCTTGATTTCTGCTAGCATGTGGCTGAAGATGAGGGACAGCTTCGTTAGGTTTCTCCTGCAGATATAATAGGAAGAAAAAAATAAGTTACATCAAATCTTTAAAATTGAATAACTTAAATCAATCTTTCAGCATCTTGTATATCCTGCACTATTTGTGTAATAATCACTGACACAAGAAAAACACTGAGCTTTCAACTGAAAACACAAAGAAATACAAATCACTAATTTATGTTCCCACACACTTCTGAGATGTATTTATCGTAAGTCTCCATGAATGTAAAATCATTTGTTCAGCAACAGAACTGACTTCTCAACTGCATATTCCAATACATTTCTGATCCCAATAAAGATTAAGCTTGTGCATTTCTATTTCATTTGATCATTGCAGAAGCAGGCATTTATACTAATTAGACAGCTAACATATGCAAATAACAAAAACCCTAAACAAACACCACCATACCAAAACTCTCAAAATACCATTTCATATGTGACAAACCTATTTCATTCCAGATTTCTAGAAATATATACACAGCACGACTAAGATTACTCTTTTTTCCTTTGTCAATTTTCTTCTTTTTATTCTTTCCAGCTTACCCTTACTACAGCTACTTCGTATTCTCTTTCTAAATGCCTTCTCTTTAGTTAAAAGTGCTTTCAGTTTTCAGTGGCATGTTAGAACCAATGATCAAGCTTCTTTACTGTCAGATCATTTCCATAAGCTTTTCAGACTTGTATCAGTTAATCAAACATTATTTTGTTTTTGATACAGATATCCCATTTAGTATACTGCAAAGAACATAGCATCCTTAAAGGCAAATAATCCTTTTGTATGGGAAATCTATGGGAGATTTTGACGAAAGGAGAGAGAAGGATGACCCAATCTTTATTAGAGTTTCCTTCTGGAGATTTCTTAGATGACCCTTGTGCTAAAAAAAAAAAAAAATTAAAAAAAAAAATTGAAATAAAATAAATAAAAAAATTTAAAAGGATATTTCCCCACCTGGTGTATGAAATAAGAGACCAGCCAGGAGACCGAGCACTTTCTGATGAAGAATTTTTGTTCTATGTATTTTAATGAAGTATTTTAAAGAGTTAGGAGTGTCCTGTGTCAAAGCCCATTCAGCTTTCACAATCTCAGGTACTACTTAATAGTGCCTCAAAACAAGTCAATGAAAAACATAACAAAATGCTTATCAATTATGTCATTTTTAACTTCTTATAGACAGTATTTCATATAAATTTAAACTTATTCATAAGCCCCCAGCAACATGAAAAGATTTAGATAAATTTTGACACATGACCACTAAACAGTTTTCAGAATGCTCAAAATCTCAAAAAAACTCCCCAGCAACCCAGTTGAATGGGTTTCCTGGGGTCTTCCTAAATGAATGCACATCTTAGTACTGAAGCAGTAATTATTTCACCTGAAATTGTAAATAACCTATGAGATTCTTGTGGAAGCTGTGTTGCAGATTTTGCTGCCAAGTGAACTATGATAAAGATGGTTATTTTGAAAACATAATTATTTAAAACAACCAACCAACCCCTGATGAATACACTCCCTCCTGTCAAGATTCAGAATGGTTGTAGGGCTAATTTTTTCAGAGTCCTTTAATTCCTCAAACATAATCAGATGTCTATAATTACGATGCCCAACTGTTCCTTATTTTCTGGATTTGTTCCTTGCTATCCCCCTTCCTACTTCCTTTGTACTCGAATTACACACACGTGTTCTTTATTACTTTACTCCTCAGAACTCAAGCCTGATGCAGACAGCAAGCAACAGCTATTTTAATGTGATTTTCTCAGCCTGCCCTAGACCCAAGATTGAGCAAGAAGCTTTCTGTACTCAGGACAGATGGGAACATGATTCGGTGCAAGTTTGAACGAGCTCTCCCTTGCCTGGTACACTGTGTATCTGGCTTGGTTAGCCATGTACTGTGCTGCAGGGGTTCTTTTCAGGGACAAATATACCTAGTGAGCTTGTTGGATTCATGAGGCTTGAGCCCTGTCATGAACTAAAGGATGAAATCATGTATAGGTGCTATCTGGGGAAATTCCTTGCCAAGAAGGGAGTGCATGTATGCCTGTACGCACATGTCCATGCACACACATTGCCTGTTAGGCATGCTTGCATAGTATGTGACCAGAGCCAACAACTGGCAGGAACCAGTCTGGAAATGCAGTTATAGACATGCATCCAAGTGGTTGTATCTAAATCACAAAGCCTGTTCCTTCCCTCTTTGAATAGCACCCATCAACTAAGTTCATCACTTTTGTTATAAGAGTTGGTTAAAACAAAGAAAAAAGTCAAGTTATTTTGTTTGTATTTGTATAAATAAGAAAAAAAGGTTTTAATATCGAATTAAGATACCTTCTTTTTATCTGACTGCAAGATGAAACTTGAAAACAACTAGAAGCTTATCTGCACCTGAACACACATCACAGCATGTATGAAATAACAGAAAATAGCAAATTCTTCCTCCGTTATATGGTAGCCGTGTTTCATCCTGAATTTTGATTCTTGCTGTACCAGATGATTATTTCATGTTTTTCTTTGGTATCAAATCATCACGATAATCATGTAGTAACTTTTCACTTACACGTTTTTTCTTTAGAATTGAAAAGAACAGGTTGCCCATTTTCGCTTAGATATGCTCATGTGATAACAGATCTCAGTAACTTATTGAGACAGATAAAAAGCTTGTTTCAGAAATGGTTTTCAAGAATCATACAAGGTGCAGAGATGACATCATCAAGGTGGGCCAGTGATTCTCCCTACTTGGGCATTTCACTCTTCTGACGACATCTATCCATTTTAGCACATGTACTTTTGCTATCTTATGAAGGGCTTTCCCAAGGCATCTCAAGCACCACATACTCCACTTTATCCACTTGGTAGTCTGTGCAGATCCATTTTCTAAGTTAGGATTACTCCTTTTTTCCTCCCCCTATATGAAAACGGAGCAGTGTCAAAAGTTTTCCATCTTATTTTCCATTCATAAGTGTAAGACAAAGTACTGAAGTCCTATTTATTTGAAAAACAACAACTAAAACCATCAGCTTCAGCATTTGGGTGAATAATACTAATGGAAGCCAAAGAACTGGTCAATCTGAACCATCTATTTTATGTCTTATTCCCACCACAAGACTGTAAAGAAACCAATCTTCACCAACTCAGTCTGCATCTCAGACTGTAACACAGGGTTTTATTCTCCAAGTCACAGGTGAAGACTGTTGCAGTGGTAGAGGGACAACTGTACTGTAAGTCTGGTGACACTTGAGAGCTGGGCAGATACACAAGAGACCTTTTGACTTACTGGATTCTACCAGGGGAGAGATATCTGAAGTGGAACTACACCTAAAAAAAAAGTGTTATCCAAATTACAGAGAAACAATGGTTTTAATGTCTCAGCAGCCAGCCTTCAGGGTTTAAAACTATAGTATACTTTCACTGGCAACTTGGAGCAGGTTAGAGGTGGGATTTCTTTCCTCAGCTGTGTTATGACTGGTACAGAGCATAAACATTTCCTTTATTTCTATAGAAAGAATGGGTTTCATGCTGATGAGAAAACCCATATCTTTCAGAAATCAAACAACACTGTCTCTTTATAACAGATTGAACTGGGATGATATTTCTGCACAATATAATAGCTCCAGTGGTAAGATTTAAGACAATTTGAACAATAAATGAGGCTGTATCAGCTGCTTTTTATGTAATGCATAGGGTAGGTCTCTTCCATATTATTTGCAATATACTTAATACCTATTACTTGATGTTTTGCTTATGATTCATGGTTAGCTAACTTTCTTCTGCCAACTCAATCTGATGCCATACAGTTTATGTCCCTTGTAGAACTTGATTTCTGAAGTATCAGGTTTTCAGTCATACTGTATATATTTGTTGCCAGACACGCTTGTGCATGACAGATCTATTGAAGAATCAACAAGGTTTGAACCAACCCAGGAATCCCTACAAACTGAATTTTAATTCAGTATAAATTTCTTTGAATCAGTAAATGTCTTTTGGTTAATCAGAAGATACATACATTTTCTTGATTTTAAAATTAATCTGTCTTTTGGAGTTATATCTCACGAGCAAGTTTTCTAAAACACAGCCTGAAAACAAGAATTGTGTTTCTTCACTTTTCACTAAATGACTATATTCTGAATCAATTTTCCCTTCAACCCCAGGGAGGGGGGTTCAGGCTAGAGAATACCGCAAAGATTTCATAACTGAAGGACTTTTCAAATACCCAGTCACATGCAATTAAAAACCAGTGCTTACTAATGGAGATATTACAACATCCCAGATATAACAAGGGCAGCGGCAGCTAGCAGTAGAAGGTCTGAAGCAGTCTTACCCTCCTGGATCTATTCAACAGGAAAGTGAAGCATGACCAGCATGGAATAATACAGATAAATTTTGGCTGTATTAACTTTGTAATCACTGTATGAAAGCTAATTTTAGTTTTTGGAAGGTAATATGGTCCAACAAACAGAAGTGGATAGGGAATCAGGCAATGTCACGTGCTTTCTGCCACTGGCTTGATTGATAAGGTGGGAGGAACACCTTTGTCCTGCATTTACTGCCTGAGTATGCAGATGAGTAGAGTAGAATACTCAGAGAGCTCCAAACTTGGACAGCTCCAAACAAATATGCTTGGCAGAATGAGCATGTACGTAAGTATAAAAAGCAAAGCATAATTTCCTCCATAATTATTCGATTTCACAGATGATAACCAAGAGAAAGTCACTTTAGCAATATGTACTTGTAACCCATGCAACAATTTGAAAATCATAAACCTGCTTACATTCCACATGTATATAATTTCTATTTTCATGCTTGTATATTACTATCTCCCATGAAAAACAATTACTATTTTACAACCATGTGTATTTCCAGAAAAAACCCACAACCTGTAGTGTAGAAAAGTCAGACTGTACATCTTTGCAGTTAGGTCATTCAAAAAATTAGGTTACTGCTGGGTTTCCTTCTTTACTGCATCTAGTAAGCATTTTAATCTTTCTACATTCACATAGATATATTTTGTT